TCTCTCTCTCTCTCTCTCTCTCTCTCTCTCTCTCATTTTTCTTGGTAGAGGCTATCTGACTCTCCAAAGTGCACAAATCCTCTTTGGAGACCATATAACGAAATATGACAATAAAATAAAGATTCTTGTGTTTGTTAGAAAGCATCTTGGTTTTTGGGAGCAATGTTTTACACTGCTAATGCAGAACTAGTTTTATTTCGATTTGGAATCTTGTTGAAAAACGTAAAAGCAATGATATGCCGGTAAAAATGATCAGATTTCTTTCAAGGGATGTCATTGATAAGGTTAAGAAAACACGAAACTTTAAAGTTAATATCCGGTTGAGTTGAGCGTGAATAATTTATAGGTAACCCTGGGGGCGATTATTTAAAAATATATTTTAGTTTTACATGTCTGTAATTTATTTAAACATAGCATCCCGGAATATTGTCTATAAAACTGTTCGTTAAAAGTTTACAAAACAGTATTACGATTTTTGTCTAGGCTATAATCTGAACATTTCAAAAACAGCATTGTCTAAAGAGTGGATAAACTGTCTCCAAAAGCTTACTATCACTTAAAGTGGAAAGATAATTAAAAATAGACCCAAAGAATCCAAAAGAACACACATAGGCTACACACACAAGTACAATGTATTGAAAAATATATATTCTAGCATGCAACTCATGACAACCAAATGTAACGTATAGCCACTAGAACTATCTAAATCATTGAAATAAAGCTTTTAAACAATTGTGGATTATTTATGCATCATTTATTTAATTGAGCTGAAATAGAGCAAAGGCGCGATCTTCTCTCAAGTGAAGAGAAATTCTCCCCATGATGGGCAGATGAATGTATGTCCACTAGCAGGCGATATAGGTTAACTATGTCTCAAAAGATGGTGCAAAATCGATTTTTACATCCTGCATGCATGGAAACATTTCATAAGAACAACACATAAAGAATCATATCTGATACTGTTTGTTCCCCTGGTTACTTGCACTAGATATTTCTTGACTTTAACATGAAGCCTCTTAAAGGCAAAAACAATGAGGAAAAGAAATGTATCTGTTCATGTTCTGCTTCTTTCACTTGCATCTTTGAGTCCTGTTATCAAACCAAACCAGGCTATTATAGATCTATAGTTTAATAATACTCAAAACATGACGTTACCTAAGGTGTAAACTGTGTTTTGTGGTCCTTTTCTCAACTGCAGGAATCTTCCGTCTTTGTTAAAGTTGAATAACCTGTGCTGGATCTATAGACACTGGACGAGCTCCAGACTTCACTGCCAGGTTTGAGAAGCGCTAGGGAACCCAGTACACAACCGCAGCCTGTTAGGCATCTTCCTCTCTCCTTCACGCTGTCCACACTCCCCATGGACTATTGTTAACTTGCTAAGGCATGCTCACATCTGTTAAGAATTATCACAATGTGTTATTGCTTCCCAAGCAGAATTATTTTATCAGATGAAGAGAGTGAAAGTGTGCTAAGAGTTGGGTGTGTGGACAGGGTCGCTGCTTGTTTGACTTTACAGTTTCTCTCTCTATGAGGAATGAGACACATGAAATTCAAAGAGATCACACACTTGAGGAAATGTCCAACTTTTACAGAAGCAAGATTGAGCTGACAGCTATATCAAAAACTAAATCAAGAACTCCAACTCCACTCCAAAGTTTCAAACAAAACTATTTCTACTAGTTGTACTTACTTACTTATATACTTACTTTTAATTTAATGCTTTAAATGTACAAATAATATCAGTGTTGACAAGGGTTATTATAGTTAACAAAGAAAAAAA